AAGGTGTTAAGTAAACTGAGTAGATCTGATGCACAGTCTTTTGGTGAATAGCCGAATATCATGCCAACACTAAAAATGAAGCAAGTTGTCAAATATCCAACGAACATTTTCGATCTGTAGTGGGATTTCGTCAGGAATTAGCTTCTTATGGTTAATGCAACTTCATAAAAAAGTGAAGTGCTCATTACATTCAAGCACTTAACTGTCTATGCCTTAACTAGTAGTTAGTACGGATCAGTCCTGTAGCATAATTCTACATCTGGTATGAGACATTCGTATACTAAACATACTGAGATTTTTGCCCATTGGCTTAAGAGGACTTCATTTCGTCAGAGTCTTCACCATACAAGGATAATAATATCTGCGTACTCCTAGCAACAGGTCAATCTCTACAGCATCCAGGTTGGTCAGAATGACACCCATTAGTTCACCTGTAATGAGACCTACATATCAAAAGAATCCAAACATTTCAGTTAAAGAGAATTAATAAACCGGGAAATTCAAATAACAATTTCAACAAATAGTATTCTATGCCATTTATTAGTACGACCAGCAATTGGCGACTGGAAAATCAAACCATTCTACAGACATTATTACATACGATACAATGTAAGAGTTATCCACGATTTCAAATGGAGAACAAAAGTCTGATAATATTAATTAATCGAATAATTATTGTAAAAGCTTTGCTTGTCAGCGTATTTAGGATCAGTAAGAAGGGAAAAAACGACGAAAAGAAACATATGACCTATTAATACAAGATATCGCAATTTTAACATTTACCGACCACAAGGTTGTAGCAAATATAACCCAGTGAATATTCGACGAATATTAAATAATAATAATAATAATAACGATGGTTATAATGGTAGCAATTATAATACTACATGTGTTCAGCGCTATTTATTGAAATCTACCTGAAAAAGCTTTTAAACTTAAACAAATACTACTGCACAACAGTTGGTAGATGCGCATTTCTAAGAAAGAATGTAAATGCATGGGAGGAGATCCATTAGGCATGACTACTGATACACATTATTAATAATCGAAACCATGATTGGATAAAGGAAACGTACTGTGTTAAGTGAACTGCGCTTTCAATCATACACAAAAAAGCATAAAACATATTTTGTTTAAGCTATGCACATTACCGCGGCATAATGAAGAAGAGAAAAATCGTACGGGAGGAAAAAACTGAACAAAAACGGCAAGATTAGATATGCAAAAGTGACTTTAAAAAAGAATTGAAACGTGCAGCTTTACAGAAAATGTAAATCCAAATTGAATATTGATGAACACGAACGAACACTTAAGGAAGAAGAATATTCTAAGGATAGGACTTATTATTCCCTAGGGAATCAACATGTAGACGGAAAGGAAATTATGTGATGAAATGGACTTTCGATTACAACTTACCCAAGAATTCTACACCAGTATTATACAGCAATTTGAACCTATAATTTACTAAACTAATAGTGATCATCAATACCAATAATATCAAAGAAATGGTAATTAATCAAGAAAAAATTACGGCGGCAGTTAAAGAGTACGAAGATCGGGAAAGGGAACTCTTTGTATAACTTTTCATCAACGCTACAAACTTAAAGAGTAATTTTTCAATATGTAAAATGCCAATAAAAACCAAGGGTTAGTATCAAACAGTAACAAAACATATTGGACAGCATATCGCCAAAGGGAGAAAAAGGGTTAATTATGAATAATTAATTTTTCCAGTGGTCTTACTTAGTCAAAAAAAACATGTTCAAACACTGAGTGGTGGTATCCCAATGAAAAATCATTACTTGTATGTAAACGGATGGAAAGAAGCATATTATTCACAAGAGAAAATAAGACTGTAGCCAAAGACAAGACATTAAAAAGGATTGAATAGAACGCTTCCGTACATACATGTCGTGGCTTTCCTTCTGAATAGTAATAATAACGATTTCCTTTATTCCAAAACAGTACTTGTGATACAGAATAAAAATTCTCAGCATTTTACTACAATATTGCATCCAGTTGGTACATTAACAATAAATAGAATTCTACATAGGTTAAGGGCAATCTAAGTTAGTTTTGACAACAACATATCGGCATGTCGATAGCAAAGCCAAAATTAAAAAAAGAGAGAAAAAGAAAAGAATGGAAGAAAACGTTGTACCTATGAGTTGGAAAGACGAGATCTAGTTGTTCTACTGACTATTTAATCAGTTATAGGTATCACACCCAATGCTTTCTTTATCGCAAAGAACACGAGCTAAGTAGGGTATAGTTGAGTCTTTGTACTTGCTAGTGAGAGCATATAGTTTTCTACATAGGCTTCTGGTTTTGCCTGATGAGATACAAGTGGAGAGTTGTGAATGAAGAGGATGGTGTGAGTTAGGTAAAATGGATTTAGCCCGTTTTCACATAAGTCCATGTGCTTGTCAACCAGAATATGAACAAGCTGGTTAAGTGGCACGTTGCTTACCCTGCTGACAACCTTTAACATCCTGCGTAATAAAGTATAGTCTTTCTTCAGTAGCCCTGGAAAAACTAGGGGGGAAAAATAGAGAACAATAGACAGGATGCAAGAATTAACGAATCGTAGGAGTAAGGGTTGGGTTATTCCAGAATGTCTTAACTTCTTGATGTAAAACGTGAGACGGAATATTTTCTTATAAATGATCAAGATATGAGACGACCAGGAAAGATCAACAGGTAGAATAACGCCAAGATATTTTAATTTCCGACTTGGAAGAACTGTGATATACGAAAACAATATTGAAACAGTGTCGCGAATTCTTTCACAACTGTCTAGTATATGGGTATGGTTTTAAAGCTAAGAAAAAGGTTGCACGACGTTTTTTTGGCATACGCAAGCGAACCCTTACTTTTAATAACACTTTCCTTCTGCCTTCTGATATCAGTATCTTCTCCAACTGACTTTACAAATCCCTCTTTTGTATGCAGACGAATGTTTAAGTATTAAGCTGAACAAACTGTTTTATTATGATGCAACTCACAATGGGGATAATACATTTTATTTAACAAAAAGGTATAAGAGTTCATCGTATGCTCAAAACATTAAACAATTTATTCAGTTGGCGATTTCTCTAATCAGAATGATAATGAGTTTGTAGAAAAATTCACTGACAAAGTAAAGAATTATTCAACGTAGAGGAAATACATATCCCATACTATGCAGTTATCGTGTATCTATGATTTAAACACTTTCCCACAAAATGCCTATTATTATTATTCCCTTGGGTTACGAGTGGAACATACGAATTTAACAACACATCTCCACTTCGTTCTATTTTCTGCTGTCCTCTTCAACTCGCCCAACGACCGCCTATAATCTCTCATCTCCTCCTCACATGATCTCCTCCATGTCACCCTCTCACTGACGACCCACTACTACTCGTCGCCTCCCATTGGAATCCCATTCGAGCTGTGGAACGGCGCCCCATGTCATTCGATGGTCTCCTCAATGTATGTCCAATCCATCTTCATTTTCTTCTACACATTTGTTGAGCAGTCGACTCTTAGTTGGTTTGTTGCCAGAGTTTCTACATCCTAATTCTTTCTGTCCAGCCATTTGATCTTCAATACAAAGCCACGAGAGGCAGTTGTTGATCAAAGTCTCCCGTAGCCTGTTGGAAGTTCTTTTCGTGACATACAGAGTTTCTGACCCATATAAAAGAAATGAATTTACATCGATGTGTAAAATCCGAATCTTGTTCTTTATGTTGAGGTGGAGTGTAGAAGATTTCCGAACCTATTTCAGATTGATGAATGTGTATCTCGCCTTTCGGATTCTGACTGGCTGGCAAGCTGGCTTGCTTTCACATCTTCATCCGTTCCCCTGGGTGTGGTTGAAACAATGCTTCCTAGATAAGTGAAGGAAGAAAGCGACATCTTTCAAATTTCTCCCGTTGATAGTGTCCGGTGCTTGTTATTATTGGTTGACTGGTTATCTTCACCACCTTCGTTTTCTCTATATTCACCTGAAGTCCTGTCTTCGCTGCCTGCTGCCAGGTTGTTGGTTTTTGCCTGCAAGTCTTCGAGTCTGTGTGATATTAAACATAAATCAACCACGCGCAAAACCCAGATCTTCTACAGTCTTCTTCTCGGTGGTTCAGCGTATTCCTGTCTTTTCACTCCCACGCACAGTCTGACGCATAATTTAATCCACTACAATTAGGAATATCATCGGTGATAACACGAAGCCTTGTCTTATTTATGTACTTACTTCAAAGGCTTCACTGAGTTTTCCGCTGTGAGTCACATGACATATAGCACTGTCATATAGCTGTTGGATGAGGTTGAGAAATATTTGAGCAATGCGCGCCGTAGTGTTGAAGTAGTTTCCAAATTACTTCTCGGTCAACGCTGTCGAAAGCCTTTCGAAGTTGGTGAAGTTAAGGTAGAGGTTTGACTAACATTCGATACTTTGTTCTGCAATGCTGGAGCATAAAGTCGCAATTTGATCAGCACATGATTTAACTTTCCTGAATCCAACTTGTCATAGGTGCAGTTCTACATCCAATGCTTAACTATTCACTTATTGATTCGTGGATAAGAATGAAAACACATGCATAAGATTACAAGTATCTAGACATTATGGTTACACATAAAGTTGAAAGTCTAATTATGACGATCGCACTGCATCCTTCCACTATTCCCGAATAAGAGAGTTGTAACTCAATTTCAACAATCTTCCAGAGAGGTTTGCAGTTATTTAAATATTTGCTTCCATTATTTCTTTACTAGCTAAAGTTCGCAAAAAAAAATCGTGAATGCAGTCATTATGTTGAGGAGAAAACACAGAACTTCACAACTTTTCAGTACACTGTACCTTGCAGTAGTCACAGATTTAAGGAGAGTTGAAAATTGTGAGGCCTTGTTGAAGAAAAAAATATATTACCAACATGCTCTTATAGTTTTTGTTAACAGGACAAAGCATAAAGTATCATGGTAAAAGCGAAATATTCATTTCAACAACTATTAAAACTCACTTCTCCTTTATCTACAGGTAGAGGATAGATTGTGTCTTGTGGAACATTAGTAGGACACAAAGATACATTTGATGCATTTGAATCGAATTCAATTAGGCAAACTGTAGGCATAGTGAGACTGCCAATCTCTCGTCTGAGTAATTGTTTACCCTTGAATTGAGAATTACTCGGTGAGGTTAGTTGAGGCGATTCAGTTCGACTGGAGACAGGTAAATCAATAAATGGTTTCTTCTTAACCAAATGGGGAGGTCTAGCACGCAGCTGAAATTAACGAAACATGAGAGATGGAAAAGATGTTAGTAGTTTGACGGAAAAAATCAAAAGGATATAGGAATATTTATGTGGTTAAACAGTAATCACGTTGATAATAAGAATAATACGATTCAGTTATCTGGTATTGGGTTGTGAGGACGAAACAGCTGTCCAATACTCCCTGGTTTTCAGTGGTTCTCCAGCTAGCTAACATCGATCCTTGATCAAACTTGAAACAGTGATATGATACAAATATTAACATATAGGAAAACCTTATGACCTTTATTTTCAGTTGTTAAGCCAATAAACCATAAAGAGCACAAAAGTCAAATAGTTGAACGGAAGCATATATAGACAGCTGAAATGCATATTCTACATTGCTAGGAATCCGAAAACATACAAAGAAAGAGATATCTCAAGCACGATGCAATAAATTATAATCATAACATCGAATTCTAGAAAGGATCTGTTCTTTAAGATACAACAACAGAAGTTCATAGAATAGGACTATAATGCGTAGTGGGGATAAATACTTACAAATAGTTTTATGAGTTAGATTACTCTGTACCTCATGTGTCTTTACTGATACTCCACTACGTGTCAAAACTGATGTCTTTCGAGCTAATTTGGATAGCTCGTTGATAAACTGATTTATCTGCTGACAGGAGTCGGACTTACTATACACAGAACACAAATTTCACAGTCTTCTGACATCGGCTGGTGGTGCCAGAATTTCGTCATACAATTCAATGCAAATGCGACTGGGATCTTGTTTCCATAATTTTTTGTATACTAGAGGGAATCGAGGCATTTTATTGACCTTCCTGACTATGTGTTTCATTTGACCAACTTTCAATTACAAGTGGTACATCTCGCTTCTTTCCTACCTGCTCGCTCCGGAGAATGACAATGAGAACAATGGCAATGAAAGTGTTTGGAAATTAGTTGGCAGGCACAACCTACCACGTACTACCCACTGAGTCAAAGAATAAGTAGAAATGGTTGCTAGCGTAGATAACCCCCCCCCCCTAAATCAATGCAGTCTTCCTTAACAGTGCATGATGGCGATATTCATGGCCAGAAAATCTCCACATATTTCTAAATAAGTACTTCATTTTGAAAAGTATCAAAAACCTTCTAAGAAAATGTGTCCATCATCACACAATGAAAATGTTTTAAAAAGTCAAAATTTTTAAACAAGATGAAAAAAGACGGATAGAAACAAACAAACAGAGGAGAAATTGGGGGAATTTTCGACCACCCAAAACAGATGTTGCATACGTGCAGTAACTATCACGCCAAAACTACAGGCACAACACATCCCAAATGTACAATATACATGAACATATGTTACAATGTTTATTCATAATACAAAAAGAGGAGGAAGAAGAAGAAGAATAGACATATGCAGTGTTCATTTTTATTTTTTCTTAACAAAAAGCACAATAGACAAAAAGTCCATCTAGACGAAACATAAATATATTGTTGACTTATTCAGTGTTTCAATTTATACTTTTGATAGATAGTGTCATATGCAATATTTTACGTCAGTCAAAAATCATAAGGATGTTACGGGACTTAGAAACGCCACACTCACTACATGATGAGTGATGATATTAACTGATAATACAAATTTGGGATACCTAAAGTGTGGTCAGAACCCGAGCTCTACTGGTTTAAAATTGAGTGCTACACAACATTATCGTCATCTTCAAGTACTGGGTTTGTAAGGATTTGATTGGTTGGTTACAGGATTTCATCATGAGGTGATATCAGTCGGAGAACCATTGGAAAACCTGCAGGGAGTATTGGACAGCTGTTTCGCCCTAGCTTGGGACTCCTCACGGTACGCACCCACCGGGGTTCGAACCCAGGACCTTATGATTACCAGGTAGGGCGTGAGGACAAATACTCGCCGAAGACATACATTGCAAGTGGTCGCGCTATGTTGTGAATTGGCAGAAGTCAGAATTCATGGGACACTGGATCGGGTCCCAGTGGCTTAATGGTCCGCGAGGTCGCCTTGTAACCAGAAGGTCCTGGGTTCGAACCCCGGCGGGTGCGTACTGGTGAAGAGCCCTAAACCAGGACGACACCGCCGTCCAGCACTCCCAGGTTTTCCAATGATTCTCTAACTGATGTGCAACCAATTATCGTCATCTGTACATCAGCTTAATTATCTTAACAATCCTAGTTATTAACCCAATGGTAGTTTCAACAATGGCTGTACAATAAAGCATACCTATCGCTTGAGAGTTGGCCAATCAGACCTCACGCGCTACGTGGTCTGAAAACTTAAATGGTATTAATAGGGTTAGGGATTTGAGAACAACTAGCCTGAAGCTCGAGATCTAGATCTTTAATTAATGGTGCACACCGGCGAATCATGTATGCAGTTTTAAAGTTGCGTATCCAGAGCGATGCGAACTCAGATCATTCAGTAGTGTAACAAAATACTTGTGGTGACACATGTACTTGACTTGCTGCTATTATTAGTAATGTGGAGAAGTCCTTCCAACAAGAATTTGGCAACAGTAAACGTTCGAACCGAATGTTTTGTTGCACTGAGTGCAGATTTTTGAAGCTGCCTAATATACCTGTTTGCACTACACTTCAGGGAAATAAGCAAAGAATTAAAATTAGAATGCAATTTGTTACATGAATTATTGAAATAATGATAACAAATAAATAACAAATGTTTATTCAGTCAATAATGGGACAATGAACAAAAAGTTTCATTCCTCCAATGTCCTGAATGTGGACTACTGACACCATACTGATCAATATTCAATAGACGGAGTACAAAAAGAAAAACGAAAGCAAAACAGCAAATGAATCTGGAAATTGTTGAAAACACTATTCATTACTCTATCATCATGAATTTGTGTGCACAGAAGTGAAAACAAACAGAGGCTTCTAAAATTTTTACCTGTTTGTCAGTTGTAAAAAGGTTAAAAATATCCGGGATTTAGGACAAAGAATGTGGATATAAACAAAAGTATGTGCATGATGTTTCTTTCTATATATGTGAGTAAACGACATAAAAATGATCTAAAAATTAATGATAGAATATTGAATATCGGAGGAAGCACTTCATGTTTGTGTAAACAGACAAATGAAAAGAGAGGGAACAACAACCTACCCACCCAGTAAAGGAATAGCACGATTCTCTGTTTTCACACAGTACAACAAAAATAAAACAGTAAAAGGAAGTTTATCTTATGTACCATAGTGATAAAAAATACAGCGTTTAATACACCTACAAATTCATTACTTATGTCTGCAGCATTTATTTCGGTGTCGTATAAAATTTCTTACATGTTTATCTCTAAACACAACGATGCTGACAGTATGTTAACTGGAAAGAACATCACAACAGCAAAGAGAAGAATGTGTGTAGACTGACGTAACAGTTATATATACATAAACAGCTTTCTGAAGCTGCTTTACAGAGAAAATATAATTAACACCTAACGGAAAGATAATCGAGAACAACTATATTGGTATTTTATTATGCTGACCAAAAAGCCCCTTAACAATCAAATCCCAATAAATGATACTAACTCATAGGAAAGCGAATCATAGCATGCAGCACTTTGTATTTGAAGGTAAGCATAACTGTAACTGCACATGTAATCCAGAGTATCGACACACACACACAACTTATGCACCCCAAACCAAGAAGTCTGTGCGTTTTAGAACAGCTACCTCAACTATCTTTTTCCTCGTTTCCAAACTATTCTTGGATAATAATAATGACACAACTGACGATTCACAGTAGAAAGTAACTACAGACAGATGATAAATGCAGCTGTGTGAAATTAACACTACGACAGATTAAAAATTCCGATAACAACTAATTTACTTCATACTTTATGATTGTCCATGTTAGCATTTTTTCTCTCAGAAAACACTGAACAGGATTATCTGATAGAAAAATGTTTTTAAAATAGCTACTGTTTCTAAACTTCTGATATGTACATTCTACGTCTTTAATAATAATAATAATGATAATAATAATAATAGTAATAATAATAATAATGGTATAAATGTATCTCAACAACAAATGGCAAGGTAACTGTGAGCAAGTTAAGTACGAAAAATACATGTCCAAAGAATACGCATTTAGGTGCAGTAGTGCAGGGCGGGAGAGTAGTAATAATTTTATTCTACATTTTGTAAAGAAACAATACATTGAAATAAAAACCTGTTTGATTTTAACTCTGTGTTACATGATAATACAGATAACACGTAGGACGGAGAATGTGAAAGGAGACATACAGATAGAGAGAGAGAAGAACTAGTGTGAATGATGTTTCTGTTCAGTGACGTAATATAACTGACAAGATAGAATAACATATATATGCGCACAACAGTGGAAGCAGTTGAAGATAAAGAAATAAATAAGTAATGAATAAACAAAGCAAGATTATATGTAATTCACAAATTGAAAGGTCTATAGAAACACTGATATTACTATAATGACTACTGACAATGTGAAAAGAGAATTTTCGAGAGAGTCAGAAGGAACATGTTGTATATCATTATTTAGCGACTAATTTATTTCTATAACTCACGTTGAACACCCACACCATCCATCTTTAATGTCTTTTCCACATTAACACTGCACTAAACTTGTTAATAATTGAGTAGTCTGTAGAATAAGGTGAGAAGGCAAAACAAAAATTGTTAGTAATTGATAGTAAGTAGACAGTTAAGACCTACTATCTACCTATAAAGTCACGTCACGTTAATCACTGGTGAACTTATTAATAATTAAACAGTGTGGATAAACCTGGTACAGTGATACATCATAAAACAAAAAATTTTACACAGCAATTAGATTCATAAGAGTAACCATGTTCGGTAAGTAAGCAACTAGGATGGAATTAACATATTCGGATAAGGATTTATGTATGTAAATCGATTCTCAGATGTGGATTCATACAGTAGAAAAGATTATAAATAATAACATAAATAGTATTCGTTGATACATAGGAAGTGAAACC